AGAGCGGAAGAAATCTAAACTCCTTGGGCTGAAGTGGCTTACCCATGCCTTTATTTCTGTAATATTCATGTTTATTTCAGCATTCCTGACACCTGACTTGTGTTCCTGGAGCTGTTACTGTGTTGGTAGGAGTGCTTTTGGCTTTGGGGAAACAGACACTGGTAATTCTATAGCATACTTTTTTTTTTTTTTTTCCAAATAAACTGCTAGGGACCAGCAGTTGACGTAATGGCTATGTTGCTGGACTCCCATATAGTGAACCACAGTTTGAGTTCCGGACCTGGTGGCTTAAACTCACGCCGGCGCATGTGTGTATGTGCCCAAGATCCCGAGAGGAGAATAGAGGAGAATGGATTGTGGGGGGTGATTTCTTGCTTTCTGTTTCTCTGTCTCTGTCTCTCTGGAGAGCGCATGTACCCTATAGCAAAGTCCTCTCCAAAAAAGCAAAATGCTGGTGGTTCATAGGCTTGCCAGAGAAAGCACCTCCCAATGGGACATGTTCATGCTGCAATCCCTTTTCCTCCATTTCTCCATTCATCATGATTTTGGACACTGTTCATCACCTGCTCTGCCCCCCATCCCTTCTGTGGATCTCCCTTCTGTGACTTGGGTTACTCATACATAGTTTCCTGCTTTGCACTCAAGCCCCAATCCTGATGTGGGGTTAGACTCAGTAAGCATTTGCTAAATACGTGATTTTGGAGACCTAATCTACTCATAAGTCATTAGGACTGATTCCTGGGGATTTGAGAGACTATCTCTTTTTGTGGAGAAGGAACTTCTGGCACAAAAACAGTTCTTAGTGTAGGCGTTTTTCATGCTCTTTTATTGTCTCCATAATTTACCATATAAGTAATGTCCTAGTTTTACAGATGAGGCTTAAGTCTGGAAGCAGCACAGAGTAGTAGAACAAGGTTGGACTCTGGAGTTGTGTCCTCGCTTAAATCTGGCTCTCCCACTTTGAATTGTTCAATTACAGACAAATTGTTTTAACGTTCTTAGTTTTACTTTGTTTTGTAAAGAAGAGTTTTCAGTACTATCCTAGCAGGACTGTATGGGGGAGAATATGTGAAGAACTTTATTAACTATCTGGCACTGGGAGATGGCGACTGTAGTGATGTTAAGGCAGAATGTCCTGGCCTGGTAACAGAAATTCCAGTTTTGGAAGCCACAAAGGCCAGGTGTCAGTTCTTCCTGTGAATGCAGTAGGGAAGCAGGGTTGAAACAGTAAATTCTTTTCTGGTAAGATTCACTCCCTCACAGAACTACTCTAGGCTCTGGTGCACAGAGATGATCCTGTACTATCCTGTACTGTAGTATCCCTGCCCTCAAGGAGCTGCAGAGTTAGAACCCATGGTGACTCTACCGCCTGGCCTTGGGTCCTCAGTAAATTGAGTGAGCAGTTTGTGGATGAGGCCCTCAGCCATATCTGCTGTTACCTGGAAATGTTCCCGTTTTTTCAGATGAAGCAATTGAGGCCAGAAACTAGGGGACGGTGGGGCATAATAAGGGATTTTGTTGAGGACCACTTGCCCAGATGCACTAGCAGTGCCCCAGGCACTGGGAAGGCCAGCAGCAGGACAGGCTGCAGGGGACCCTGCCAGGACCCTACCACACCGGCACATTAGGCAGGAGGGAAGGACGTCGGTGGGTCTCGGAGGGGGCGCGCCTCGTCAATCCGAGCACCAGCCACGCCGTTCCCGGCAGGCTGTGCGCTGGTCTCTTTCCCCTTGCTGTGCCCGAGTCAGGTGTCCACTGTTGTTAGTAATAAAAGGTCAACATCCGGGCCTGTGCTAACCGACAGCCACCGGCGAACGCTAACGAGGCCCGGCTCCGAGCAACCGCCGGCGTCGGGCGACCAGGCCCCGCCCTCGCCCCCGCTGATTGGAGGCCGATGCGAGCGCCGGCGCGCGATTGGTGGGTGGTGTCACAAAGGGCGGGGGCACGGGGCCGGTGCGTTGCGGGTCAGTGTTTGCTGCGGCGTCGCTCGCGGGTTGCGCATCCCTGTCG